CTATGCTCAGGTGTTATGTCATACCTATTTTTAGAAGTCGCCACCTGCGTATACCCGAAAGTAAACAATCTAATCCAAGGGTCAAGGGTTGTTGGGATAATCGGGTGGTGTGATCAGTTCACCAAGTGGGTATACATTTATGCTTATTGCGAAATCGAATTATTTGGTTAAACAGTGCCGTAGCCAGCCGTGGAGGAGGGGGGTTGGGGTGGGGGCTAGATTTTTTTTATAGAAAACAGTTTTATTTGAATCAAGTTGGGGACAAGTGATACTTGTACCAATATTAAAGGATTAATGGTTTGGGAACCAGCGGGTTTCAACAATTCCACAATATTCTTTGAGGTGTAGTCTGACTGATCTTGCGAGGGCCGGCGCAAAGTCAACATGGCGCGCTATTAGAACGCTAATCTGTCAATCGTAGCTATATATTAGCGACTAGTAGATGTCGGAGAGTGAGTGCATAGCTACGATTTCGCGCCTACATTTTTAAGCCATTATTTGGTGTCCTCATCCTCATAGTGTCTGTTTTTTTGTTGATTTCATCGGAAATAGTCAAACACCTGAGTAACTGTTTCAGATTCGTACATGTGAACGTAAGTTACGTATCTTTCGTACGTAACAATGACCCCTGACACCACAAAAATACAGTTCCAGTGCATCGAACCAACCTGACCTAAAATAAATTAACGCATAAGAAAAACAAACAAGACTTATTATGTCCTTTGAGATAATCGCTCTTTGCTCTTTGAAAATATATAGCAAATCAGTGCTTAAAGTGACTTTTATAATTCCCTTTTCAGTTCTAAACGACGCCAAACTAAACATATTGAACTAGAATCCGTGACAGAAAGGACTCGCCATGTCCCTGCATCCTGATGAAAGAGTGTGTTTGGTTTTACGCCGCTTTTAGCAATATTCCAGCAATATCACGGCGGGGGACACCAGAATGAGCTTCACACATTGTACCCATATGGGGAATCGAACCCGGGCTTTCGGCGTGACGAGCGAACGCTTTAACGACTAGGCTAGCCCGCCGCCCCGCATGCTGATGAAGGCCCTCTGATTTATGATGACATATATATGAAACCCTACCATATATATGAAATCTACTGCAACTGAAACTCTTTGAAGACTCACATTCGATTTTTTGTAATATTTGGCAACATGGCCACAAATTCAAATTGTATTGTTCAGAGTCATCGTACGGGTTCGATTCTCATTCGATGTGTTTGGAGACTTGAGCACAAAAATAACAATTTTCTGATTTCGAGTTAAGATTGTGCGTTTTTGTTGTGTTTCAGTATATATATCCATCCTTTAAATTATAACGTTGCTAATCACACATGTTCAGCCTGCGGCATGTCTATTCTACTCTAGAGTTACTCATAACACTCAAGAACGCATGTCATCTCCCTGGCGTAGCCCTCTGTTGTGGTTTTCAAAAGATATGAAAAATATATTAACAGAAACGTATGGGGCGCCTTTTAATTTTCCTTTAATATTACATTAAGAGGCGATCAATGTCATTAACAATCGCAGATCAAAGCAAGAGGAAAGGCTTGACGTTCGGTAAATCAATAAGACGTGTTTTATAAGTGAAGTGTTCACAAGCCGCCATTGCATGGCTTGTTGAATTCCGTTGTTTGCATATTTTCATTTGTATGCTACGCAGAACTTGATGTATTCATACAACTCAGTTATTTACCGTCAATGTGATGTGGATGGAATACTTCTTTCAATGTCAAGGTCACACACTTCTTAATTTAATGCCAAACTGAATGTCCAGAGGATTCGGGGTGAATTTCATCCTAGAATCTTTTAAATATGAAGCTTACATAACAATTAGGGATTTGCCAGTGAGGCCGATTCCCATAATCACACAAGTGACGTTCATTAGCGCATGAAGGACTAATTTTGACGTTCAGAAGTGTTTTACGAGACTATATTATCGAAATGGCGTAACCGATGACTACCTCCCATTCCTCGGCAAATCCTGACTTCAGGTTCTGAATCTGATGACTAATAAGCCAATGTTAGCTTGAACATTCACGATCACCCAATGTCGAGGCTGACATAGACAATATTCTCCAGTGATCTATGAATCTAGCTCAACAACATAGAACAACACTAAACAACGCTGAACAACACTCTCCTTCGCGTTTTTCGTGTCGGCCATTTTGACGTAATGTGCTTACGACTGATGACGGCCGACGTATTGAAGAAGTTTTTAAGAAAATATGTATATTCCTTATCTACTTTTAACACTATTCTAATATCTGTGTTGTTATCAAACTATTAGCATGATACAGTAGGGTATTTTGTGTTTGCATACTTTTATACTCTCTCTCGTTTTGAGGAACTATTATTTCGAGATACAGTTGGTCGTGATATGGTTCTTGGGGAACATATGTCACGTGTACCAACTGAAATTGTTTAAAAGGTATACAAGACAAAAGATCAATATCTATAAAATTACAAGAATTGACTTTTACTTTGTGTGAGGTCATTGCAATATTGATCCTCATGGGATGAAGACGCCAACTCCGACGTAAAACTGTCTTAGATGGTGTTAAGTTGAATTGCCTGCTGTTCAACCTGTCATTGGGAAGTGGTTCGAACCTATGAAAAGACCTTATGAAGGGCGTAGATGCGAGTGCGAGTGCGAGTGCGAGTGCGAGTGCGAGTGCGCTTAAGGTCAGTAATAGCGTGAATCTAGGATTCGAACCAACGACCCGGATCCTGGCACTGGAAGGATGGTAACTCTGTAGCTAACTGTACATAACGAAATTCAAAGTGTCCAGAAGTTCGTTGATCTGAAGCTGGTTATGTCCACTAAGTAGGAGAACATGGTTCAAGTGTATCCAGGTCACATCCTTAATTGGATCACAGACGTACTTGTGATGTGAGCTTACATTAACAGTAAGACAAACCAGTGATCGAGAGTTGCTTGCGTGCTATCGTGATGTTTTAAGCTGAATTCGATTCGTCTGGCCATGCAGTACAATGGCACGTAACAAGTGCAGATGTATAGCGGTTTTTTAAATACAGCCAATGAATTCAAGATCGATTGTACACTACTCAAATACTCAAAGGGAATTAAATATCACACGATATTTTCATATGACTATAGTTAATCGGTCATTTTATGAAACAAATAAATCCGTTGTTCTTTAACTTCTTTTAAGTATATATCTACTGCCAGTATCGTAACATCCTTTATACATGTTGGGAATCGAACTCAGATCTAGTGGAAAAACACATCTCTAGTCTCGACCCGCGGTAATTTTGGAGGTAAGAAAAAAGAATGCACACACACACGCACACACACACGCACGCACGCACGCACGCACGCACGCACGCACGCACACACACACGCAAACGCACACGCACAAACACACACACACACACATGTTTTCAGGTTTGTCTCAGCGCCATATCCGTGCTCGTGGGTTTCACCGAAACGGTCTGCTTCTGGCTTCTGGCTTCTGGCTTTATCTTTCTGGCTGTGATATTAGTGAAATACTCTTCAAAGCGGTGCTCAACCAATCTCACTCACTAATCCAACTACCCTTAAAGATCCAAGTTAGAATAAGCCCACAACAATCCATGCTTGCCGTAAAAGGCGACTATGCTTGTCGTAAGAGACGACTAACGGTATCGGGTGGCCAGACACGCTGACTTGGTTAATGCATATCATTGTATCCCAATTGCATAGATCGATGCTCATGATATCAATCCTGGGTTGTCTGGTCCATATAGCTGTAATATTGCTGAGTGCGGCGTTAAACAACAAACAAACAAACAAAATTTCTTTTGTACAACCTCATTGGAGAAGGATCATTTTGAGTTGAGTGTCATGACAAGGGAATACTATGAAATATACATGCCATGAGTGTGGCGTTAAACAACAAGCAAACACTAATCCATCTCCAGTTTGTCTTCTGGATCCGCAACGTGCTGTTCATACCATGAGCAGTTGCTGACGCTTTTTCCTTGTCAACATGTTTGTAAATTTATGATAGTGGTACTGGCTTCCGATGCTTGAGAGAGATTAATGTAGCTGACAGGACTTAAAACCCATAAATATGGACTATCTAACTATAACTCAGACATATATTTATTGTTTAAAAATTTATGATAGATGTAACAAGTACTTCTAGAATCAAACGGCTACTCGGCTGTAGAGCTCGGCAAACAAATACGATTATCTCTGTTTTTCTGACACTGTAAATATTAGGTTACACGGATCTACTGTACGAGTATATTTTTGAAGTACTGTCAACCTCGTCACCTGTCGACTTGAGGTTTCGGCAGATTAATGATAACGAAAGGGCACTCTGCACTCAGATCCAGTGACATTGTAACCGTGTAATGATATGGCTGCCCCCACGAGCACTACACTGTTTATACTACAATTATGTCACTTGTCCTTCTCAAGATCCATTGCCAGTCCCCACCCTCGCACTGGTCCTGCTCCCCGCCCCCACACTTGCTCTAATCACGATGTATTGTCAATCCCCACCCCCACACTTTTCCTACTCCCAATCCTCGCACTTGTCCTTCTCAAAATACATTGTCAGTCCCCACCCTCGCACTTGTCCTTCTCAAAATACATTGTCAGTCCCCACCCTCGCACTTGTCCTTCTCAAAATACATTGTCAGTCCCCACCCTCGCACTTGAACTACTCACCACCCCAACATGTGTTCTACTCCCCACCCTCGCATTTTCCCTACTCACGATGTATTGTCAATCCCCACCACCAACACTTGTTCTACTCCCCACCCCCACACTTGTCCTACTCCATACCCTCGCACTTGTCCTTCTCAAGATCCATTGTCAGTCCCCACCCTCGCACTTGTCCTTCTCAAGATACATTGTCAGTCCCCACCCTCGCACTTGTCCTTCTCAAGATACATTGTCAGTCCCCACCCTGGCGCTTGAACTACTTACCATCCCAACATTTGTCCTACTCTCCACCCTCGCATTTTTCCTACTCACGATGTATTGTCAATGCCCATCCCCACACTTGTTCTACTTCCATCCCTCGCATTTGTCCTACTCCCCACCCCCACCCTTGTCCTACTCCCCACCCCCACCCTTGTCCTACTCCCCACCCCCACACTTGTCCTACTCCCCACCCTCACACTTGTCCTACTCCCCACCCCCACCCTTGTCCTACTCCCCACCCTCACACTTGTCCTACTCCCCACCCCCACCCTTGTCCTACTCCCCACCCTCACACTTGTCCTACTCCCCACCCCCACCCTTGTCCTACTCCCCACCCCCACCCTTGTCCTACTCCCCACCCCCACACTTGTCCTACTCCCCACCCTCACACTTGTCCTACTCCCCACCCCCACCCTTGTCCTACTCCCCACCCCCACCCTTGTCCTACTCCCCACCCTCACACTTGCCCTACTCCCCACCCTCACACTTGTCCTACTCCCCACCCCCACACTTGCCTTACTCCCCACCCTCACACTTGTCCTGCTCCCCACCCTCACACTTGTCCTACTCCCCACCCCCACACTTGCCCTACTCCCCACCCTCACACTTGTCCTGCTCCCCACCCCCGCACTTGCCCTACTCCCCACCCTCACACTTGTCCTGCTCCCCACCCCCGCACTTGCCCTACTCCCCACCCTCACACTTGCCCTACTCCCCACCCCCGCACTTGCCCTACTCCCCACCCCCACACTTGTCCTACTCCCCACCCCCGCACTTGCCCTACTCCCCACCCTCACACTTGCCCTACTCCCCACCCCCGCACTTGCCCTACTCCCCACCCTCACACTTGCCGTACTCACGATGTATCGGTGGTTTCCACACAAGCCTTTGCCCTTCACAATTACGGAGCTGCTTATCATAACTCATTACAAGCGGGTCTTTACAATAATCGACGTAATCATTTAAAATGTTTAGTTTTTATGGAAATATTTTTCTAACCGGTAAGCTCCTCGCGAATATATTTCGTGTCGCGTGACTTGAAGAAAAGATCGTCTGGCAGTTGCATATAAAACCGACGTCGCTAGGGACTGTATTAATGCTGTGATTTTAATCAAGCTTCTCGTTCAGATGAAATTTCAGTTCGGGCAACTTGCTGCAAGCGTTTTTTCTCCTTTATTGCATCTGATACTGGCGGTGATAGTAATGCATATGTGTCAACTTGAAGTATGTTCAGGTCAATTGCCCTGGATATAGCCGAAAGGTCGGGGATAGCTGCAAACGAGATGTTGCCGATATAATCGCAACGATTAATAATATTGTTTTTCTCCAACCACTGGTCGCATCATGCCCAGTTGAGCTCGGCCCCACTCTAAAATTACTTTCATGAGGTGAGGTAAGGTAAAATTGGGTTTAACGTCGCGTCCAAGATTATTGCACTTATATAGCGACGTGCATGCACGTGTATGGGTGTGTGTGGCTGCTTGTACTAGTCGGACTGATGCCGATTTATAGTGCTAGCTCACTGAGATACCATGCCGCAGTTTAACATGAAAACCCCACTCAGACACAGTATACTGACTCCGAGCCGACCAGTCCTTGTTTTAGCCCCTTAATGCCTAACAGGGTAACAACAAGTACAATCTTTTAACGTCTTTTTGTATGACGCGGCCCGGGATCGAACCCTGGACCTTCCGCTCTCCGGGCGGACGCTCTACCACAAGACCACAGAGGCGGTCTACTTTCATGAGCGATGATGGATGAATGTATGTTGTTTTCGACGAATCGCCTGGAGAAACGTGCGTCTTTCATTCGTTAACCCTAAGATCCCGGATATGGCAAATGTTCCAACCTACTACTCTATCAACACGGAGGTCAGGAGGACGCTGGACACACCCCTCCCCTTTGAGCATGACTATCTGGCTCAAACAGTCGGGTCTTGTGATAAATCCTTCACATTGTCAGTGTCGTGTAGTAATATATATGTCTACATGTCAGAAGGCATGCAGTTTTCTGATCACCGCACAAGCCGCTCGTTTTAAAAAGAGACGTCTCCGTGGTCTCGTGGTAGAGCGGCTGCCCGGAGAGCGGAAGGTCCGGGGTTCGATCCCCGGTTTCGTCATACCAAAAGACGTTAAACGATGGTACTTGTTGTTACGCTGTCTGGCTCTGGATATTAAGGGGATGAAAAAAGGACACACGCAAACTGCCACACGACGCTATAATAGTAAAATAAATTCGACGACAAACCTTATTTCATTTCACCTTGAACAGAATGTTACATAGTTTTAAGCAAGTGGAACTTACTCCATGAGCGTGAACTCACAGGGACACAATCACTGTATTGTCATTACATCTCGCGCCCTCACTACACGTGAGATGTCTATCCTGGTGTAAAAGAGAGACTATAGGATCCGGTTTCGTGAGGTGAAATGGGGTTTAACGTCGCGTTCAAGATTATTGCACTTATATAGCGACGTGTATGTGCGTATGTGTGTTTGTGTGGCTTTTTGTACTAGTCCGGTTCAATGCCGAGTTTATAGTGCTAGCCCACTGCTAAACCACGCCGCAGTGTACATGAATAGCCTAATCACACACAGTATACTGATTCCGAGCCGACCAGTACTTGTTTTAGCCCCTTAATACCGAGCGCCAGGCATAGTAACAACAAGTACCATCTTTTAACGTAATTTGGTATGACGTGGCCGGGGATCAAACCCCAGAATGCCGCTCTCCGGGGGGATACACTGCCGAGTGACCACGTGGGCGGTTGAAGTCTGGGAGAGGATACACGGTAATACATTTACATGGAAGAAGCAGGCTAGATCTTTAATGGTTTCAATGTGAGAAAACAATGGATTGAAAACCGCTGTGATGAGTTTTAATATCATTTATTGATAACCTATATTGATGTTAATGCATCGGATGTACAAAGTTTGTTTGTTGTTTAACGCTGCACTCAGCAAATTTCCAGCTATATGACAACGGTCTGTAACTGACTACCCGATCCTGTTAGTCGCCTTTTTCAAGCACAGTCGCCTCCTATGATGGTTGGTTGGTTGGGTTCTGTTTAACGCCGCACTCAGCAATATTCCAGCTATATGACGGCGGTCTGTAAATAATCGAGTCTGGACCAGACAATCCAGTGATTGATATCATGAGCATCGATCCACGCAATTGGGATCGATGACATGTATCAACCAAGTCAGCGAGCCTGACCACCCGATCCCGTTAGTCGCCTTTTACGACAAGCATAGTCGCCTTTTACGGCAAGCAGGGGTTGCTGAAGACCCATTTTGACCCTTACGACAAGTATTGGTTGCTGAAGACCCATTCTGACCCTTACGACAAGCATGGGTTGCTGAAGACCTATTCTACCCCGGATCTTCACGGGTCCGTCTCTTACGACAAGCATGGGTTGCTGAAGACACATTCTGACCCTTACGACAAGCATGGGTTGCTGAAGACCCATTCTGACCCGAACGACAAGCATGGGTTGCTGAAGACCCATTCTGACCCGAATCTTCTCGGGGCGGATGTACAAAGGCAGACATTTCATCAATGTATTGTCATACAGCTACTTTTACGTGTATACGTTTACAAATTGTACAGACAGATTTGCATAATTTATAAGTATAAAGAAATATAAAGTTAGAAGTTAAATAATTCAAGTAAACTTTATCGTCCAGCACAGTTGGCGCACTGACGTCACACACAGAAGTATATACAGGGCGCACCAATAGATAACAGCTGATGTTGAGATCCGGACTTTCCAATCACCTCTCAACTACCTACAGAAGATGACAAGAAGGTGGAGGAACAGTTTCATCGGCTTTAGCGTCCGTGATTGCCAGATGTCGCCACCTGTCAGGACCTATAATCAAATGTATCGCCTATTTACTGTGCATCCTCAGAGAATTCACCGGACATCAAGCCACCGTTCATAAAAGAGGTAAGATGCAATGCTGAGACGAAAGCTACAGCCTAAAGAATGACGACACATCTCCTTTTTCCGAAATCTACATAACCCTAGATGTCTTCTTTTCACGAAGCTCCACGAAGTCACTGAATCATGACCACGTCAACACCACAATGTCCGCTACTTGCTGATCGCCCAGCTACGTGTAATAAGACACGACTTACACTGAGACTTAACACTGATGTATGACGATCTCCTTAGGTGGTGACTATAGAAGTTACAGTTATACGCCAGCGATACACACATTAGTAACAATGAGTCTAGTGACTTGGTCTCACCAAAAAGTCACAGTACTGTTTGTGAATTATGGGCCGGACGTCCAACATTTCCGAAATACCGATAAAAAAACATATGGAAGAAGCTGTTTTGTTTATCTGAATCAGTATCAACATATTTGAATCAGCATACACATATTATTAGACGGCAATAAACACGGAAATAATAATCTGTATCGTTTCCTCCAAAATCGAGACAAACGTATTTATTCATTATCTCGAAGGTGACGTACTGACAAGACAATGCCTTATCGGTTATGTTATTGTGAACAAGATCATTTTATAGCATACATACCTGTTGACGCAACTACCTATACTGTCACAAAGCGCGCATGTGTTACCCACAAGGTAAAACAAATTGTAATTTGCACGTGGTACCCTCAGAATCTGGAATGAGAATATGGCACATTTCAGTTTAAATAATTTATGTAATATAAAAGAAGAAAGCAAATATACTATTAAAACAAAACTAGTAATATGTTCTCACATTAATGACTGGGGTATTAAGTTGACACAATCTTCGTGGTATACATGATACTGTTGACGTTGATATATCTACAGTGGTAAAGTTATTAATATGTTTTCATAATTAATATTTTAAATGTATAGCAACACATTATAATATTATTTTACAATGAAGTAGATATGCAGAAGGAGACATGCATGCAGATATTGTTAAAATTGAAAACCACAACGTTGCAATATGAGTGCGTTTGTTATATTTAACCGTGGACTATACTTCTGTTTGAGAGTTATCTCCCTAATAGTAATATGTTTATACTCCTGTAGCCTGACACGTCATTTGTTCACTCTGTCCAAAAGTGATAATGTCTCGCTACACGGTCCTCTCGACAGGCAGATCTCGGTACACACAAATGGATCAGCGTTTCCTGCATAGCGATATGCTGTATGGGTAAATTTTCGGATAGAGCTAGACTGGTACCCTGCCTTTCGCCTCCTAGCGGCTGCAGGCGAGGAGCGCAATCAATCTAAGGCAGGTAAACCAGTATAGGACAGCCGTGGCTCCCTGTTATGTTTGTTGCCGAGCAACATAAACATGTTAGTGTAATAATTTACAGTTTGGAATGTTTAAAAAAATATTTATTTATGTATTTCGTATGTACGCATGTCATTATACACATGTGACACAAATAGATAAAGTTTCTTTTAAAAGTTTGGTTACATCTTTCCAACGATTTCTCATCCCCATGACCCCATGTACTTTTCTCAAACCCATAACGAGCCCTTGATCAAACCTCAATGATGATATTTATCGCAAAAAAAAAGACATTTCTTGAAAAGCCCACTTTGCGATTTTTGTCAGTTTTGTAAGTATCAGCGGAATGCCTTGTTTTCACTTTATAAATATTAGTACACCAGCAGCTTTCTTCGTTGATTAATGATCGCGATATTTGGTGACTCCATTTCAAGTGACGAGGATTATAATGTCGATTTGGGTAAACGTCTGCATGGATGGAAAAATCAGCCAATATTTGTTTTTGATCGATTTATGACATATTTTAACAATGTATTTGTTCATATTTGTGCGGTATTTGTCGCTATCTAAGATAGATAAGACACTCCTCCTTTATGCTTGGTAATGTACACCCTCGAAAGATAGTTCAGGGAGCAAGGCCTCGGTCTTTCTTGCCTTCCGGCTTTACAATCCCAAGCATGACCCAGGAGGAGTGTTTTACCCTACATACTCTCGTGTACTTTTCGTAAATCTTACGCAGCAGAAAACCAGAAATATTCTTTGAAGTTTTATTTCAAAACATGACGAACCGAAACTGTTGTTTTTGTGTGTTCAGTTATACTTGATGACAAGATATCATTCCAGTCTATCCCTTTTGCACACTGCCAAGTACTTGTGAGTTATTGTCTAGGTTGTAGCAATGTCGTCTGCTTGCTCAACCATAGCAGACGACATCCTGTTTCAGGTACGTGTCACATTCACGTGGGAGGTGGGTGCGGAGAAACTATGTACAGCGATGTTGCCCAACTTGTATGCCCACAAGGCGGTATGACCTCCAACATCTGTCATTGAATTTTGAAAAATGAAATTTTCAATAATGAGTGATTCATCACATTCGTCAGTGCTAGGGTGGTGGTCGGGTACCCTAGTGGTTAAAGCGTTCGCTCGTCACGCCGAAGACCCGGGTTCGATTCTCGACATGGGTACAATGTGTGAAGCCCATTTCTGGTGCCCCCGCCGTGATATTGCTGGAATATTGCTAAAAGCGGCGTAAAACCATACTCACTCACTCACTCACCCGTCAGTGATAGGGCTTTCCTCACACTTTTAGCTGACACGTCGTGATGTAACTGGTATACTGTTCAAAGAGTTAAACTCAACACACTCACTCACCGTCGGTGCTGACGGTAAGCGAATATCTGTTTGTTAAATGAAATACCATTATCAATATACAAGCAGTAGAACCGATGTTCAGCACAGACGAATGACGTCAGAAAGCATGTTTCTGGAAGAAGCACATCTGCTTGTTGAAACATTGAATCGAAGGCATCGCATCATGACAACATCCCCGTGGCAACGTTCGGTGTTATCTGTGATGCCATTGATCCGGGGGAATGATGTCTCGGAGACACCGACACGTATAATGGTAGTGAAAATGCTAATTACTTTGAAATAGAAACCTACTTGTATTGATTGAGTGACTGTTGGGTAGGGATTTAGACAATTTGAACATTATTATAGTGTATCGCGACGTGTTATCTTAATGCAGGGGATATGCCAAAGTGGCACAGGTCAGCGTTCCGTGCCACGAGGCGGTCGCAGCGCTACGACTGCCGTAAGCCTATGTTAAAGTATGGGAGTTACCATCATCTTAGCGCTAAGATCGCTTTGTGCAAGTGGGCCCAGGTCAGGGTACCGTGCCACGAGGCGGTCGCAGCGCTACGACTGCCGTAAGCCTATGTTAAAGTATGGGAGTTACCATCATCTTAGCGCTAAGATCGCTTTGTGCAAGTGGGCCCAGGTCAGGGTACCGTGCCACGAGGCGGTCGCAGCGCTACGACTGCCGTAAGCCTATGTTAAAGTATGGGAGTTACCATCATCTTAGCGCTAAGATCGCTTTGTGCAAGTGGGCCCAGGTCAGGGTACCGTGCCACGAGGCGGTCGCAGCGCTACGACTGCCGTAAGCCTATGTTAAAGTATGGGAGTTACCATCATCTTAGCGCTAAGATCGCTTTGTGCAAGTGGGCCCAGGTCAGGGTACCGTGCCACGAGGCGGTCGCAGCGCTACGACTGCCGTAAGCCTATTTTAAGGTATGGCAGTTAAGATCGCCTAAGTGCTGAGATCGCATTTTGGAACTGGGCTGGGGATTTTACCACTTCGGTGTAACCCATGAGCTCTGGCGTGAGAGGTGGCCCACCTGTTCTCTGTAACCCTTGTCTGGTATGAAAACTCTGGCCTGCTCTGAGCCTAACTGAGAAGGACTGCGATGGTGGATCTGGTTGCTAATTATTTTTCAACATAATCCCCTCCAAGTTGCTTGGAACCAACTGGTGTAGAAGGCCGAGCTGCAAGGTCTGGGTTACTGAAAAGGAATATGACATTGTCTCTGTCCGTCCGATAGGCATACTTGTTCATTGTAAGGTGAATACATTTAATACACCCCCATTGCGTCAAATACCGGCAGTGATCCGACATTCACTGGGTCACGTACACGCAGTGATCTGACATTCACTGGGTCACATACAGGCAGTGATCTGAAATTCACTGGGTCACGTACACGCAGTGATCCGACATTCACTGGGTCACGTACACGCAGTGATCTGAAATTCACTGGGTCACGTACGGGCAGTGATCTGAAATTCACTAGGTCACGTACACGCAGTGATCCGACATTCACTGGGTCAAGTACCGGCAGTGATCCGACATTCGTTGGGTCACGTACAAAAAGTGATCCTACATTATAGGGTCACATACCGGCAGTGATCCGACATCCACTGGGTCACATACCGGCAGTGATCCGACATCCACTGGGTCACATACCGGCTGTGATCTGACATTCACTGGGTCACATACAAGTAGTGATCCGACATTCACTGGGTCACATACAAGCAGTGATCCGACATTATTGGGTCACGTACAGGCAGTGATCCGACTTTCACTGGGTCACGTACAGGCAGTGATCCGACATTCACTGGCTCACGTACCGGCAGTGATCCGACATTCACTAGGTCACGTTGCCTTGATCCGACATTCACCCAGTCAAGTGAACCGACAAGCATACAAGGATACATATTTACCAAACGCACTTGTATGATGCATGACCAGTACATGCCGAATGCCTTATGTCCAGAATTCCGTGCACTGAATCTTTTCAAGAACGACTACTACGCAGTCGGATAGCGACACACAATCCCGTGGGTTTTGCGACAGGTTGGGGCGACCTCCATGACACTGTCGTATGGAGCCCAGCTGCTGCTGTCGCCGTGGTTTCCCATCATCTCCACCGAGCTGTCGCCTACTCAGTAGTGTCACGCATGGCGCATTAACATACTCTAGATGTATAAAGGCATTGAGAATGAGTTGGTTTGTTCCCACTTTGCCAGTCGACTGAAAGGTTAAGTGGTAACGGTACAATAATTTGTTGGCTGTAGACTGTTTTAACTGAGTATTACTCGCGGTGTAGTGTGACAATATATATTATATATAGCCACTTTCCTAATGTCATGGGTCAGTACTGTATGACGAGGTCCTCATAATGGCAGCATAGTCGGGGATTTAACTTGATTTGTCTTACAAATCTGCATCAGAATTTTACAAATGTTAAATTTGGGATAAGACTTTTTAGTACTTTAGGGGGTTGAGTCCCATCCGGGATTCGAACCCACACTATTCAGAGTAAGGCACCTAATCACCAGCAAAACAAAGTCAGTGATCTAACCTACTCAGCCACCGAGGCTTCCACAAAAATGAAAGCTCGACAACTGGTAGTCTAGATCACGTACTTTGTGTACCCCTCTGACAAGCGTAAATTGGCACGGCACCATGGCCGAAAGCTATGAATACACAATTCATAGAAAGTGGTCAAATATAACAAATGTTAAATTTGGAATAACACTTTCTTCGTAAAGCTAGAATTTGTACTTTGTACTAACATTCTTAATGGTATTGTGTATTCATGCATTAGTTTTGTTGGTTTTATCCATTGTTCACTTGTATTGACGGTTAGGGTTCAAGTCAATAAGAGATTAGGAGTGTACGCTTACAACTATATCGGATTGTAGTCCACATGACGATAATCTGTCTGACATACTTGGTAGTGACTCATTTTGAAAAATGTTTGCATCAGTACAGCGCCCCGATGGATCATAACTTACTGTCAACATTGCTTACTTTCATTTTCAGAACATGTGT